CAATATTGTAAACAAAACAAACATTTTCCTGAAGAAGGGTCTAGGCCCAAAACGTCAGCCTTCCTGCTCCTCTGATGCTGCTTGGCCTGCTGTGTTCATCCAGCTCTACACCTTGTTATCTGAAAATTTTTCATTCCTTCTTTCTAGAAAGAGTAAGGTATCTCTGTCTTTAATGGAGTAGCAATGTCTTGGCTAGTTTACTTAGGTTCTAAGAGGTAGAGTGCACTGCCTTTATGTGAATAACAAGTTCAGATAAGATGTGAAATATCAGCTTCTGAGGTTGAAAGAGGTATGGTTGCCATACTCCTAGTGAATCATAGACTGCTTTCTATTAGAGACAGATGGCTGGTGGTGGTTTACCCTGAGGGGTTGCCATGTCTCAGGCGAGGGTGAGAAGGCAGGACCTGAGCAGGTACAGGAACCCACAATGCTGGCGTCACTCTGCATTGCAAACCAGCTGCCCAGCCAACTAAGTTAACCAAATCCCAGTTGAGGTTGTATGAGTTAGTTACAGGCAGGGAAAAGTGTCACTTATCTTCAGTTAGGCTCAGAGTGAGTGAACGCAATGGTTCTGAGCAAAGGACCCAGATATACAGCCTGGTCCAGTCCATGAGCCGAGTGTGGGTCCCTGAGTGCACAGTATCCTTGCTGCAGCATTACAATGAGAGTTGTCAGTGCAGCCAGAGGTGCAGCATTGAAGGGCATAAGCAAACTGTAAGTGGATTGGTGAAATGTAATGAGGGTTCTTAGAGGCTGGCACATAATGGATGCCAATGTCCGAAGACGGGAGGACGTGTTTCCGTTGCCCTTAGAGTGTGCCCTGAGATGTTACTACTCAGTGTTCAACATGGAAGTTGTTTGGAGCAAGTGGTGTGCTGAAGTCACCAGGTAACCGCTCTGTTTTCCAAGTCAGGTTTTCCCAATTTCTAGCTTGTTTGAAGTGTTTGTTAAGATAGGAAACTGAATATTAACGAGGCAAGTTGTGCCATTAATAAGATGTTTAACAAGTGATAATCACTCTTAATGGGCAACTTGCTGCTGCCTAGCAGAAACCTGCCACACTACTTGTGAAAAGCATAGAAGGTGAGTGAGATGCTCCTGTCATCAGATAGGCCTCACCAGCATTCCCTCTAATTTCTTTCTCTTCTGTGCAGATCCTCATGGTCTGTGCACAACAGTGACTTCTGAACCTGAAGTCAATGCTGTGATCTATGTTGACATGCTAATCACCATGTTTGCCGCCATAGTGAGATTTGAACCTGTACAGTCAGAAAATTAACCTGAGATTCTGAATGACTAGACCAGCAAAATCACAAATATGCCACTGTAGGCCACACTGATATGTGCTGGAAAGTCTGATTGAGAGATAACAATTGCATCCATGAGGCTTTCAGTAGCTGATGGACTAAGGCAATGTGCAGATTCAAGCTTTGGTATGGATGTGGAAGTAGGCAGTGTCAATGGTAGTGCAGATATGTTGTTGAAAGCTTATCATAGGATCTATTATGGCACTAAGGTTGTGAACAGTGTGGTGCAGGTGACTTAGATGTCAGCAAGCGAGATGGAGTTGATACTATGGAATGAAGTTTGCAACAGGAACCAAAGACAATGGTTTTGATCTTCCAAGTATTTACTAGGAGGAAATTTCTGCCCCTCTGACATTATAAGTTGGACAATCAGTCTGACAATTTACAAAGTATGGATGAGTCCAGGGAGGTAGACCTGTGTGTGGTCAGCAAATGTGTGGGAACTGATATTTGGCTTTCAAATGATGTTGCTGAGAGGCAACTTATCAATGAGAAATAGAAGGGGACCCGATGTGGCTAGATCCTTTGGAAGCATGGATGTAACCTTGCTTGAGCGGAAAGAAAATGCATTGCAAGTGACTGTCTGGCTATAACTCGTTAGATGAGAATGAAACCAGGAGTATGCAATCTCAGTTAACTGGAAAACTTTAAAGAGACATTAGGGGAGGATAGTGGGGTCAGTGATAACGAAGACTTGGTTAACATAGCCATTATTACATTAATGTGAACAATACCTTTAATAAATCTTTGGGAAAATCCTTTCCATCGTTAAGGCCATCCAGATTTGAAATAAATTGCTGGCATGACATCTTCTTTCCAATATTCTGGAATACATAGACAAAATAAGATACATTTTAATTTGAAAATAGTGGAGAAAATATTATTTGAAATATGCAAAGTGAATTGAATATATGTAAGACAACATGAACAATGAAAGTAATAATTTTACTTCAAAACAAAAGCAATTTTGATTATAAATCTCCATAAATAAATGCAATGACGTAACTGAAAGCAGAGGAATTAAGTACAGTTGCAAAAATATAAGGGAGAAAAAGCCAAACTAGATGGGATAAAAGTACTAAATAATAAATGAGTTAGAATTGAAATGTCCATGGATGAATACCTAAAGCATTAGGAATAAAATTGGAGATCAATAGAACCAACTTTTAAAGGGCGGCACAATATCATGGTTTTGGCAGTACTGGGAACTAAACAAATGTGCCTTAAACTTTCAAAAGAGACGAAGAATTCAAAGACAAAGGATCAGTGGCATGACTAATGACAAGATTACACCATTGAAAATGAAAGGTTTTTACTGAAGTTAGCATTTACCACAATTCTCTCCAGACTGAATTGGAAAACAAAATGTAAAATTTAACTATGCCTGTCTAGAGAAATAAGAAAAGGCTCAAAAAAACTCTGTGCAAGTGGATAGAGAGTCAGGCAGAGCTATAGAATCAGAAGGCATGCCGAGAGGTAAAATATCCATTATCTTCCCAATTTTGTCCAATTCAGTGAGGGATGTAATAAATCTAGGATGGACTCCCAGCTCAGAGGTCATACCATTGGTACCCAATTTTAAGGCCACTTAAGGGCATCTTCCTATCACGTCTGGTATTCTAATAGTGATGTAGTGCTCCTTTGGCATATGGCAAAATCTCCACACCCCCCTAGAAGTTGGTGAACTCCCTACGGGTTTGGGCACTTCAGATCTGGCACTCTGTGGCCAATGGAGGAGTTGCCATGGCATAAAGGACCACAGCAGTAGAAAATGCCAGCAGTACCTTTACCCACAAGTCCATTCCCTCAACTGGATCTAACTTATTGACTCCGGTAAACCTGGCCATATATACCTGTTTTCTAGGGTCAACCCATTACACTAGATGCAATCCCAGCTGTGGCCATAACTCTTGGTGGCACAATTGGACTGAAACATTGTTAGCCCTCCTGATGAAAGTTGGTAAATCAGCAAGCCTAGACAGCTTCAAATACTAAGTGAGATTAGTAAAGGAATACCACAACAGTAATCATAATACTCTAAAGATTCGGCACAGGAGAGCAATAAATTTCTTGCTCACAATATGATTTGAGGCTAAGGTAGAATATTAGTTAGCCTGCTGACAATTAAGGAAAAAAACATGAGATGGAATTCTATCAAGGACTATGATGTTTTAGGACATTAGGATAATTAATAGCAGACAAACAAATTTTAAAGGCATTTGAATAACTTAAATAAATATTTTATAGAAATTATCAGAATATATAATACTGGAGTGGATACAGAAAAGAAGTGTTTTTTAAAAAAAGAATAACATATTACCTAAACAATTTGTTTTAAAAATTATGTAGTAAAGGTGCGGAAATAGCAGTGTATGGGAACCAGCTTAAATGGAAAAGCGTAGGAATAAATGGTAGTGTCTCAGATTTGCACAATATAATAATTGTATTAGAAACAAAACAGAAATTGCTGGTGAAACTCAGCGGGTCTGGCAGCATCTGCTGAGAGAGAAACAGAGTTAACATTTCGGGTCCAGTGGCCCTTCTTCATAACTCATGTTGTCATGCTGCCAAACCTGCTGAGTTTTTCCAGAGATTTCTGTTTTTGTTTCTGATTTCCAACATCTGCAGTTCTTTGCTTTTGTTTTGAAAGAATTGGTATGTCCCATTGACTTGTTTTGAGACTTCTGTATTCCCCATATAATTATGTGAGTTTAATGTAGAGAGTTCTTTTTCATTCGAACACTGGATGTGGGTATCTCTGGCTGGGCCAGCATTTATTGCCCATCCCTAATTTCCCAGAGGGCAGTTGAGAGTCAACCACATTGCTGTGGGTTTAGAGTCACATGTAGGCCAGGCCAGGTAAGGATGGCAGTTTCCTTTCCTAAAGGGCATTAGTGAACCAGATGGGTTTTCCCTGACAATTGGCATTGGCTTCATAGTCATCATTTTTTATTGAACTCAAATTCCACCATCTGCATGACAGGATTCAAACCTAGGTCTCCAGAGTATCATCCGGGTCTCCATATTAATAGTCTAGCAATAATACCACTAGGTTATCGCCTGCACATATATCAACATTATATCAAATGATATCAACATTTGCTCTTTTCCCTGGAGA